TCCATCCACCCATCCATCCATCCACCCATCATCCATCGATCCATCTTCCCATCCATCCATCCATCCATCCATCCACCCACCCATCCATCCATCCATCCATCCATCATCCATCCATTCATCCATCCATCCATCCATCCATCCATCCATCCATCCATACTCTTTACCCACTTCTTCATTTCCAGGTGTAGGGGGCTTAATGTACAGGAGGTGGGATACATCCTGAACAGGTTGCAAGTGATAATAAATTTAAAAAAAGCTTGTCACCTGCTGCCTTTTATTCCAAATATTATAATTAAAAAAATTAAGCAATCTGTTTGCGCTTAGAGTATGTAATTAGGATGACTTTCAGCTTCTACCAATCCAAAGTTTAGATTCTTTATTTTATTTTATTTTTATTTATTATTTTTTTTTGTAAAATTGACAGTGCCGTAGCCATTTTTATTTTAGTTCAGTTGGCTGAGGTAGCCATCTTGAAGTGTATTGACTCCAAAAATTATTTGTAGATGGACATCCATTGATTACGTTCTACAAGTTTCATTAAAATGTATCCAGTGGTTCATGCAATATATTTGTGAAAGTCAGGCACACAAACACAAACACTCACACACAGACACGGGTTAAAAATTTATCATCTGCCTTCACCTCTCATGACTGCGGTTGAAAAATAGCATGCCGTTTTGTGTTGCCCCTGCATTTTCTGCCCACTGTTCCCCCGTTTCACACATCGTTATGCTCGTCCACTGTGAAATGTGCTCCCAGTTTGCACGTCAGTTTTCTGTAACACCCCCACTGACGTAGCTGTGGGACTTACCTCTGTGAGCCCAGCTTGTGTTGTTCTGTAAACTCACATCCGCCCTCTTTATTTGTCTCCTACTCTGGGGGTGCCAAAGGGAAATCAATAGGGGCTCACTTGGTCAGGGGCTAAATCTGTAATTAAACACCATAAACCGCAAAGTCACACTCAGCATCGAAGTGTAAAAGATTTGCCTGCACTACCTTTGCTTTTGCTCTTTGCTTCTTTCTTTCTTTTGTAAACACATTTAGCAACACATCTGAGCGTATTTGCTTGTTTGTCTTCCTTTATTCCCATCACTTTAATTTCTCAGTCTCTATGCTGCACACACCTCTCTTTTTTTGTTTAAATTAACTTGAGCAAGCGTGTACTTACAGACTTATAGATAACATCCCCCTCATTTTGTGGATCTTTGTAATTATACTGCAGGAAGTGTGTGTGTGTGGGGGGGGGGGGGGTGTTGAGGTGGGAAGCTGTTACCTCTGTTGAGTCAGAAAAGGTGTGCACTCAGCACTATCAGCTAATTGAAGCTCCTCTCTTTAGGATATGCAAGTTGGGTGAATATTGTGCCAAACCTGGCAGAAACCATCTCTGTCCTTGTGGCATTATTGACTCAAAATCTCAGTCATGTGGATAATGCATCAAAAACCTGAAGAAAGAAAACTCACACCTCTTTGTAGGGAAGCTATTGACTTGGAGTAGATGAAAGAGGACGAGGGGAAGCAGAGATTTTTTTGTTTCGATGGGTGATCAGAGAGTTTGTGGTCCTTGGTGACTGCATGTTAGACTGTTTGGGGAACATCTCTCACCTTAAAATAAAAAAAATAAAAAATAAATGTTTTATGAGTCTTCCCCTGAACGAACAGTCAAACTTAGAAGGACTTCATCTGTAATTCACCTTTACCTGCCAAATCTAAATAATGAGGTCAATATGTTAAATATTATATTTTGTTATATATATAAAGGAAACGTTTTTGAATCTTTCACATTTTCTCTGTTGTGCTTGCAGGATACAATCAAGCAGCTACAGGAGGAGTTAAAAAGCATAGAAGAGGCAGAAAATCTTTGCGTGTCATTCACCGAGTGGCTCGGCTCGACTCAAAAAATCTTCACAAAGCTAACTGACCATTCTGAACCTCTGGACCGGGCCACCATGGAAAAGAAGATGAAGAAACTAGAGGTCAGTTTAAACTTGTGCAGCCATTTTTTTTTCATGTGATTAAGATGTTACTGTAGATTGTGAAGGAATTGGACAAAATGTGCTGTGCTGGGTTTAATACGCCTTACTGTGCAGGATGCAATAAATCACCGCAGCTGTACCGCAGGACTGAGCAGAACTTTCGAGTGAGCCAAATTCAAAGTCAGCCAGTGTATTTCTGCATACAACACATGATTCCTCCTTGTAATACTGAGAATGTGACACAGTCAGAATCTGCAGCATATTTAGATCACACAGCCAACTTGAAGAGAATTTCTTCGTTTTACCGCTGCTACAATAAACACAGGCAGCATCCAAAGAAAAGGCGCTCGTATTGTTTGTGTGGCACAGTTTTGTATTGAGTGCGTTGAGGTTTTGGTGAGTGTGTGTGTATCGATCGGCTCTTTATGAAGACAAAGCTGGTGCTGCTTTGAAAGAGAGCGTGGTATCAGGGAGAGACCTCCCACCGTGTGGAAGAGGATGAAGAAGCGTCAGTGTCAGGAGCCTGCTGGCGCAAACACTGTAATTGATGCAGTGCCCTTACTGCTTCACATCTCACACACACACACTTTTCTCACCTCAAACCCTCGTTTCATATCACAAAACCCACCCGAACTGACAACGTGCAGCTAACTGCTAAACCTGCGAGTGCTATGTGATTTCACATATTGTTTCCATTTCAGTTTTTTATGTATCACAGCACCTCAGCGCTCTTTGTTTTCCTCGCATGCATCCGAGATGTTCGCAATACATCATCTGGTGAGGTCTTTGCAGTAATCCATGTCTGAGATCGATGCTCTGTCTCTGTGTAAAGACTAGAGACCCGCTGCCACCCCATGTGTCCTTCCACAGCTGAAGATAACGTAGAAAAGTGCTCCATCACTTCCTCGTCTCCTGTTGTGAGAGAAGCTCACTGAACAGGGATGATTATGCATTGACAAACAGATCCCTTGTCAATAGCTCTGTTAAGGACCATTAGCTGGGTTTGGGTTGTATCTGATATAGAGGTGGGATTCATACAGAAGCAAATGACTGCATTTTTTTTCCCTATTCTGTTTCTGCTTAGTTATTCCAAAGTGTCTAATTAATAATTATCTAAAAAAACAAATTTTTTTTTAGAGCTTTTGCAAAACAAACTTCATCTCAAAAGGGAAAACAGCTCTTTTGTAATTTAAAAAGTGCTTTTTGAGGGACACAGTAAGAGCCAAATTTTAAAATCTGAAAAAATAAAAATAAATAAATAAACTTCTATGAACTATAATAAAATAGTCAAACTAAAGGCCTAGTGTTCCTGGATGGGATGCATCTCTCCTGCTGTCTTTTGTGCCACAGTTTTGGATTAAGATCATCTTATGTTAAGTAAAGATGGAATTGTACCCATCCATCCATCCATTATCTTTTACCCGCTTCTTCCATTTTGGGTCACGAGGGTCGCCGGTGCCCATGTCCAGCAATCACTGTGCGAGGGACGGGGTACACCCTGGACAGGTCTCCAGTCCATCACAGGGCCACATGGAGACAAACGAGACAAACAACCATTCACTCTCTCACTCACACCTAGGGACAATTTAGAATCACCAATCAGTCTAACATGCATGTTTTTGGTCTGTGGGAAGAAACCGGAGCACCCAGAGAAAACCCACACACGCACGGAGAGAACATGCAAACTCCACCCAGAAAGGCCCCCTGACCGGGGTTTGAACCGGGGTCCTGCTCGCTGAGAGGCAGCAGCTCTACCAGTTGCGCCACCATGCTGCCCTGGAATTGTACCCGTTTTGGTCAAACCCTGAAAAAAACGTTAACGCCATATTGCAAGATATCACACATAGTCATTTTGTGGTGTCTTATATGGATTAGCAACCATTTTGAACTGGGATGACTCAAAAGCCTAACCACTTGTAGATTTAACTGAAAGTATGGTTCTACAATAAGCTAATGATTAGTATAAAGGGTTCATTAGTTGAAGATCTGGTGGTGCATTTCTGTGGAGGCTATGAGAGTGTAGACTGTAGTAACCCATAGGTGTAATACTTTGTATGTTTCTGGTTTCAAACCAATTCCCTGACCTTTGTTTTGACTATTTTATGGATATATTTTGACATATTTCTCAAAGCATAAAGATATTCTGCTCTTCTTCATCAATGAAGAGACCCAATCCACCCCTCGCACAAACTCTTCTCCCCCTGCTCTCTGGCAAAGTTCAGAAACATCAGAACTACCACTACGAAACATCGCAACAGTTTCTTCCTTCAAGCAGTCAGACTGATTATTAACCTAGGGCCACCTCCTTACACCCAAGCCCAGAAATGCAGACATATCTTCTCTTTAAAATATGTTTAATCACTGTTTCGCATTGTGTACTGTCCACACTACCTGTCTAATCCTGCACTGTGACTTTAAAACTGTATCATCCAAATCATCTAAATAGTCATTAAATAGATTTTAAACACTGTAGCTCTAATTCTCACACACTAGTGTTCTTGCCTTTTATACACAGACTATTTTTTTCTATCCTTTGCCCCCTATTTGCACATTTATCTTGTATTTTTACAAAAAAGAAACTGTTTTAACCATCTGTATAGTTATATATGGGTGAGGTGACGATAAACATTTTAATCCTTGATTAATTTAGGCCTTCTCACCATCAAACAATAGTGTCTCATCCATAAGGTTTGCTCAATAATCAATACTCAACATATAAAAGTTGGGTTTCCCCACTCACCTTCTTTCTTTCCAGAAAACTGTGGTTTGTTTTTGTCACGTTTTATTCCAGTGTTTAAAGATAAAGATCAAGCTGGCTGTCAGTGCGATAAAAGATGCAGCTGAAATAAGGAACCCAGAAACTCGTGCAGAATAAAACTTTTAACCTCTCGAGCTCATCACCACACCAGTCACACAAAGAACTTGACATGGATAAATGGGGGTAAAGGACAGTCGAAATATAAAGAGCACATTGTTCTTGGAACCTCACATCTAATTATTACCGTATTGTCAAATCCAGCACCCAAAGAGAGAATCAGCATAATTTACCTTAATCAACCTAATTGTCATTTTATTATGAAAAGTACCTGCGCATACGTCGAATCAGTAAAAAACAGCATCATGAAGAGGAAAATAACATATTTAAGTTGCTTCGGCCTATAAGTCGCATTTATTATGCGTTTATTTAATGATCAAAACAGCTTCATTTCACCTGAGCGGCGCGGCACCATCCATCCATCCGTCAAGGCCAGAGCCGCTAGCTCTCCAGCTTTCCTTCGCCTGCACCATCAGAGTGATGCGAGCATGCACGGGAGGACTCGCTGTTGTAGTTCTTAGAAATTTAAAGCATCAGTCAAAAATGATTATGAATATGGAAAAAAAAAACATATATAAGCCACTTCGGTGTATAAGTCACATGACTGACAAATTTATGCAAAAAAAACCTGCAACTTATACAATGGAAAATACGGTAATTATGACTTTATGCACAATTATATCGTATTTCGAGGATGATTTTGTTGCTTACCAGTTAGAACAAAATCTTGCACACTTAATTAAACCAGTCCAGATGAGTGTTTGTGTTTGGAAGAAAACCTGTGTGAGATAAAGGATGCTTTGACACCATGGAAGTTAATTAGACATAAGAAACAAACTCTACGTCACAGGAAATTGTAAATGCTGAAGAATTCCTTAAAAGCAGAGTTGTATGTGGTCTTAATAAACCAGTCTATTAAAGTCACAAGCCAGGAACATTGGAGATAACGATCGAGCTCGGAGCGTCATATTAAAGAGGACACATGAACGTGTGCAAACACACTCAGGTCTGGTTATGTTGCCCACAGAGGTGGATTGAGATCTGGGTTTGTTGGAGTATGAGCTTCTTTTCTCTGCTCAAGCCTTAATAGGCCGATGATGAAAGGTAGATGGCGTCCCATCGAGTGGAGGTCAGTGTATGTGTGTGTGGCGTGTAGCGGTTGCCCTGGAAACCCCCGCAGCTACTGTTGCCTGTTAAGGGTCTTTATAATTGGATCCTCCTTTTATATTATTCACTGTGGTTTTTCCTCACCATGAACTCCCAATCTTCTCCACATTTTATCGTGCAGGTGTCAGCCTACCTGATGGGTTCAAAGCTTTTCAAAAGGTCTGCCAGGCTAGTTCTGGTAGATGGGCAGATCTAGGGGTGAAGGACAAAGACACAGGGGCACAGTGCTGAGCCTCTAGGTTCTTCAAACTGTTATAAAAATGTGTTGTTTTTTTGTAATAGATGTGCACAAATAATTATTTTAAAAGTCTGTGGTGTGAAATGTCCTATTTGAAAAGTTATATTTCTTCTCTCTTTTTTCACCAGACTCTCCAGTCTGAGCTTCAGCATGGTCACAATTTCCTGAAATCGCTGAGGGAGCGTGCAGAGCAGGCAGCGGGCTTCCTGGACGAGGCCGGCGCTGAGAGTTTAGGAGGCGAGGTAGAGGCACGTCTTGCTCAGCTGGAGGAGCTCGCCGGAGGACTCAGACAGGAGCGCAGCTTCCTGGAGCGTGCCGTACTGCTAGCAAAGGAGTTTCAGGACCGGTACAAGGCTCAGGTCCAGTGGCTTGTAGAAACCAGAGCTTTGCTCAGCACCCCAGTGGAGCCTAAGGCTGAACTGTATCAACGCAGAGCACAGCTGGCCAAGTATAAGGTACAGCAAAAAATAAAAGCATGAGCAAGAATGCATTAATGCCAGAGTCAGTAATTTTGCACTTTGGTGGTTTTAAAGTGCGAGGTGGTGCTGAATATTTTTATCCTAATAGGCCTCGAGTGACCTTGGCTGTTTTACCCAGTAACTTGAAGATGAATATATTAAAGATAAATAACTGCTGATTGTTCCCAGAGTTAAAAACTGCTGTAGAAAATGGTTAGTTATTGTTGTTGAACACTTTGAAGTAAGAGTAATGGATGGATGGATGGATGGATGGATGGATGGATGGATGGATGGATGGATGGATGGATGGATGGA